TTTCCTTCGACAAAAAAAAAAAAAAAAAACCTGATTAGGCAAGGCTAAATTCAATTATAAACAAGAACCATTTTGACAACCAGAGAAAACAATAAATGGGGATAAAGCTAGCTAGTTGTCCACCGCTTTCCCTGTGTTAAACAATCAATTACTGTCCAGTCCTAATTTTTCCATCCAGATATGTATTAGGGATGAAATATAGTGACATCCTCAAATGAACTCAACTTCTGATTTCTGGAAACATTTGTGAAAATGGTCTATAGATATGGTTGTCCATTTTCCTGTGTGGAACTTTTTACTGGTTTTGGTGACTGACTTTGAGTTTCTTGGCATCTGCAGGAGTGGATGACAATGAGACTATGAAGCTCCCTAGAAGTGGCGGAGCAGACCCAGAGAAAAATCAACCTGGCGATCTCTATGTTACAATCAAGGTAATTCAACTCCCTCCTTATTTAATACTCTTGTGCTGCTATATTTGCATGTTGTGTTAATTATTTCTTTGCTTGCTTGTGTGATGTTTTACGATGCCTTAACGATGAAGATAAAAATATTTTAATAATTAGTAATTTGACATCAAGTCCTCTTCTAATTTGTTATGGAGAAAAAGGTCAAGGTCATTTCCTTGCGGCATTATTTACCATGGCATGGTTTTTTGTAATTTTTTCCCTTTTGATTTGCATGATGGTTGTCACTCTTACTGCATTATGACATTATAACAAGAAGCCTGTAGCATTTTAGTTTTCAAATTGCCTTGCTGCTGGCAAACTCTTGGATGAGTTTTGTTATCTTATTTGATTTTAAATGGTTATGCAATAGCCATTGCTTGCCTAGCAAGCTGGATGTGGGAATCAAGATATAGAAGAGTAGTGTGACATGGAGGATTGATCCACCTTGTCTGCTGGATTTAATGCAGGGTAATGACAACATTTGAAATAGTGAAGTCCCGGTTGGATACGTAGAAAGTTGGCATTTTAAGGAACATTTATTGTAGCTGTCCTTTTCCACTGTAATTGATTGTTCTTTGAAATTTTAGCTTTAGGTGGTTTACTTTCTTCCATTTCATTCTTTCTCTCTGCTTGTTTACTTTTTGTGTGCTTAGACTCTGTTCCCATCCGATACTTGTCAGCTTCCCCTGATCCTATTGCATCTATCCCATTTTGTTATTGAAGTCATTATGAATTTCCTCCTCCCTCCTCCACAGGTCCGGGAAGACCCTGTTTTCCGAAGAGAAGGCTCTAACATTCATGTTGATGCTGTTCTAGGCATTACCCAGGTAAAAACTTTTTTTTTTCATGGTTTTAGAAAAACACTAAGATTCTAATGAACAGAATTCATTCCTGTTATCTATGTGTTTCAGTGCATTTCAAGGTTCTTATTTACAAATTCTTTCATTATTTTAAGTTATGGGTAATGCTTTTTTTGTATACTTGTTAAACAAAATGTAGTACTCAGTTCAGATGGTGGTCTTGTTGAAACATATAAATCTTGCAGCTTTTTTTTGTTATAGACCTAAGTCACAAGTCGTAACATAAAATCCCATTTAGCATCCATGCCAGATGCAAAAGTTAATTCGATTGCTCTTTTGCAGGCAATTTTGGGGGGAACCATCCAAGTTCCAACTCTCACAGGAGATGTTGTACTCAAGGTTGCAATCTTTTTGCTTGATTTGATTATGCTAAAAAATAAATCAATTCATTGTTCACCTTAACATGTTTTATATTTTCAGGTCCGCCCTGGCACCCAACCTGGTCAGAAGGTGGTTCTGAAGAATAAAGGTGAGATGAATGCAATTTTTGCTCTCCTTACTCCTGCCTTACATATCTTTCTTTGCTATATGTCTGCTCAAGGTTTTCTGGTTATCTATACTTTAAGCATGTGGTTTTTTTTTATGCATTCTGTTTTTAGTAGATGTTTCACATTGATAAATGATGACGCACACATGCGCACATGCATATATATTTCTTCTTTCTCTTGCTATACAAGATTGAGTTTTGTGGTCTTGTGGTTAATTACTACTACTACATGAAGCCATAATCCTAAGATATATAGATTTATGCACATTCTGGTATTCAGTATGATGAGGGATAACTAGAATATTGTGGAAAAAGATCATCAGAGATTTTCCTCTAAAGATTAGTACTTGGCTGGATCCCTCTTGTTAGTCTTCTTGTACTTGCATTCTGGATATTTAGACTTAAAATTTTTTAAACTGGCCTTTGTTTACTCTTTTCATGTCTTATTCAAATCTGCTGTAATTTTTTGAAAAATATGGAAAAGCCTGAGCAGTTTTTGTTGTGTTTCTCGGTGATGTTCTTTATTCCTTCATATGTGCAGTTGTGCTGTGTGTTTTGTATTCTTTGTTAGGTCTCTACTACTCTGCCTTTGTCTGAAATAAAGGAAGAACTTCTTGGTGTTTTCTGACAGGGATTAAAGCACGGGCCTCTTACTCATTTGGTGATCAGTTTGTGCACTTCAATGTCAAAATTCCAACGTGAGTTTTCTTTCCTTTGTCAGTTTATTTCACTATGCTTAACTTTTATATGTATTTGCTGCCTGTCCACTACTACCAGAAATGGATGAATGATATGTCGAGATGTTTTCTTCAAGAAAGATCTTTGCTGGTGATTATCCCATGTCATTGTGTTTTGCCCATAATCCACAAAGGGTTCATATGGACAACACAATATATATTGTAAATATAGCCATCTATATGGCCGGATAGTTCCTTATGTTATGGACAATGACTTACGGAAAATATTTTTGCTACAGGACTTTGACCCCAAGACAGCGTGAATTGATTGAGGAGTTTGCCAAAGAAGAACAAGGTGAATATGACAAACGTGCTGCTGGAGCATCTGGGTGAGGCCGTGGTAATATTTTTCTTCTCGTGATCATCCCATATTATTGCTTAGAAGAAGATTATTCAACAAAAGAGAATGATAAAGAATAGGAAAAAGATCAATTGTAATAACCGACCTGTTTCAGAGTTTTGTAGGAGAAATGTTGAGATGGGTCAGACTTCTTATTTATCCTGGAAGGTACATTTTTCCCCACCAACACAGCCATCGCATGATAATACCCCATCTGAGACAAAATTATCGCTTTCAATTTCAATAGCTTAGTTTTGTATATAATTATACTTTGTACTCCAATGGTTGGGTTTTTTTTGGATGAATTACTGCAATGATTGTTATGTGGGTGAACCTATGGATTCGGCATTTCATTAAATTGATGTCAAGCTTGTGGAAACACTCGCTGATTTATATTTTACATGTTAAGATCGTTGACCTTTTGAAGCTGAGACTTGAGAGCATAGTTTTAAAACCCGATCTGGTCATCGACCCGGTCCGGTGATTGGGTCACGGGTTAGATGGGTTGGACCGGGTTAACCCAAAATAAACACCTATATAAAATACATAACAAAAAAAGATTATGCTTCCCAGTAAATTTTATCAAAGCTATTTTCTTATCCTGAATTAATAACAAGCAACAAAATATGAAAAATCAGCTAGCAGTCAACATGAGAAAGCATTGAGAAAGAAAAGTCTGATGCCACAGTAACTCTAGTAAAAGTTGATAACATCAACTAACTAATTAATGTCACTGTAACTTAATGTCACTGTAACTCCATGAAACACGGTTAACTAAGCACAACAGCTTAAATAAAAATCTAGGGAAGAATTGATGCCACAATAACTCTAGCAAAAATTTACAGAAGCAAAAGCAGAACAAACACGAACAAACACACTAACTTGCAGGCCAGTATATCAAAATCTCTACAACTTATGTTTGTTTAAATTTGTGAGCATAGTTTTAAAACCCGACCTGGTCATCGACCCGGTCCAGTGATTGGGTCACAGGTTAGATGGGTTGGACCGGGTTAACCTGGGTTAACCCAAAATAAACACCTATATAAAATACATAACAAAAAAAGATTATGCTTCCCAGTAAATTTTATCAAAGCTATTTTCTTATCCTGAATTAATAACAAGCAACAAAATATGAAAAATCAGCTAGCAGTCAACATGAGAAAGCATTGAGAAAGAAAAGTCTGATGCCACAGTAACTCTAGTAAAAATTGATAAC